AATTTCTCTCAGCAAATTTCGTTTTTTCAAACAAAGAACAAAAGATCTTCCATAGATTATCTTTGATGAGTCATTCTTGTCTTTCTTTTACATTTAAGAATTCAAATCTTCAAGGTTATCTGTACCAATGAATTGTACGTTCTCCGCGTGATAATCAAAATACTTCTATTCGAGACAATTAATAAAGATTTGTCAAGATAAGACAAAATGTGATGAGAAGGAAAAACATCTGTAAATTGATTACATTTATATGAAAATACTAAATTTGATCTTTGACTTTCATTTGGAGAAAAAATATTATTCATGGGAAATAAACTTTTTCGACAATGTTGGGATGTTCAAGAAGAACATTGGAATAATTCCAAACAATATGAATATGAATCAACTGACTATTCGAATCAATTTTCGGACTGTCATCTTTATTTATTTGGAAATTCTTCAAATTCACAACTTCTTCAAAGACAATCGATCTAATTCATCTATTTTTATTTTCTATTGGATTCGAATTCACTTTAATCGATGAGAAAAGACCGATTGACACGACTTAGGTTTTTCAGTTATTTCATCGATATTTTTATATTCAATGAGAATTTGATTTTTCCAAAAAAGATGTTCACCGTTCGATCTCTTCAAATTATTCTAAATGAATAGTCATTTGACACGCACATGTTGAGAAAAAAACTCTTTTTTCTTTCTTTTCTTTTGAAAGAAAAAAAGAGAAAAAGAATTGGCACATTTGCCTTTTCTTTCTCTTTCGTAGTTGTTGTTGTTGTGTCGATAGTGATGGCAGGTAATCTCCATGGAAGTTGCGTTCGATGTGGTAAAAATGGTGGAGTTCTTTTTTGTAATGGTTGTGAACAAATTTTATGTTTTCAACATGTCAATGAACATCGGAATGAACTCGAAAAAGATTTAGAAAATTTAATTAATGAACAAAATGAATTAGAAAGGAAATTTTCCAATATTGATGAATCTTTTCATTTATTTCACGAAATTGATCAATGGAGAAAAGATTCCATTGAACAAATTAAACAAATTGCAAAACAAGCAAAACAAAATTTAAGAGATCTTTTAACAAAATCCAATGAAGAATTATTAGAGAAAAGCAAATTGATTCAAATAAATCTCAATTTATTCAAAGAATCAGATGATTTCAATGAAAAACAACTCAAAGATTTAACAAGACAAATCAATCATTTGAAATCACAAATCAATTCATTTCATTTAATTAGATCAACAAATACAAATTTTGTCACTATTGAAAAACAATCAATTGATCCCTTCGAAACAATCTGTCCGCCACCTCCACCATCTCTTCCTATAATTGAAAAACCTTCATCTAATTTTCAAGAAAGTCATTCAGACCAACAAGGTAAAACAAATCCTTTGTTTTTCTTTGAGAATTCCACATTACTCAAATGATCGTTCTTTACAAAAAAAGGTTCTGTCATCATTTCATTTGTTGATCCATATGGATATTTCATTACTATTGAACATAATGGTAAAACAACAAGTAAAGATGAAGATATGGTTGGATGGATATTGAAAAGATCAATTGATTCCTATCAAGAATTCATTTATCAATTTCCAAATGAATTTATCTTAAAAGCGAATTCATCAATAAAAATACTTTCAAAACGAGCAAGTTTAACACTTTATTCATTCGATAAAGGCAATTGTTTAGTTGCTGATTCAATACAAACATGGGGAACACCAGTTCAAACTTCAATCAATACACTTTTTGATGCGACTGGGGTTCAAAGAGATGTTTTTACCCAAACATTGAAATAAATTCTATTTTCCAAATCCAACAATTGAAATTGTCTCTTAAATAAATAAATATGTTCTTCTTTTTCAATCAAAATCTCCATAAGTAGATCAAAAGTATTTTCTCTCGAATAAAGGGATCGTCATTCGATGCAACTGCAATTTGTTTGCTCTTTGAAGAGTTTTATTTTAAAGTACAAAGTGAACATCAACTGTTCAAAATTGAAATAAGTCTTCTTTTTTCGACAAATTTAACAATTTTTACAAAAAAAACTGCGTTTTCCAACACTTTCCGTACCTGAAATTCGATTTTGTAATGAAAAAGACTTCTACAATTGAAGAGTTTTAAAGATATTTTGTACATTGATTTGATAATCTTGTTGATGTTGATTATCTTTTAAAGTTTTAAA